ATATTTATATATATCTATATATATATATATATATATTATATATATATATATATATATATATATATTATATATATCTATATATATATATATATATATATATATATATATATATATATATATATATATATATATATATATATATATAGAACAGTGTGGCTTGTTTGTTCGGGATACCGTAGTATTTTGTTGTTGCAAAATGGTCAGGCTTATCCCTTTATTGTTGTTTTTATAAAAACAACGTTTGTTTATTAGTGGAGAACGATGGTAATGTTTACCAGGGGGTAAGGCAGGGAATACCTAGGTTTCGGAAAGAGCCACCAAGGCACGGTCGACGAAGGGGTTTTTGTTGTAACAGACAAAACCAACTTACATGGTTATGCTACTTTGTTCAGGTTGAACGAAAGCATAACAAGTGGAGAAAGATGAAAATGTTTATAAGTGCGGTTGTAAGATTTAGAAGACTTTCCAAGAGAATTTTAGTTTTATATAATTCTTTGGTTCCTCTTCTATTGAGCTTACGATCTCGTCACTTGGGTAAAAAATGTTTTTTGTCATAGAAGTTATTTTTAAAATAACTTCTGGGGAGAATATCCCAGACAAAAACAAGGGAACTGATGAGGATTGGTGGCTCTTTCCGAAACCTAGGTATTCCCTGCCTTACCCCCTGGTAAACATTACCATCGTTCTCCACTAATAAACAAACGTTGTTTTTATAAAAACAACAATAAAGGGATAAGCCTGACCATTTTGCAACAACTATATATATATATATATATGTATATATATATATATATATATATATATATATATATATATATATATATATATATATATATATATATATATATATATATATATATATATATATATATATATACATACATTAATATATATATATATATATAGGGAATGGCCCGATCTCTACAATCTTCATAGTGGATCCTGTGATATGTGGTACCGTTATATAGAGGCTATACGAAGTCGTGGACCTGCATAGGTATTTTTATACCCTCCACCTTGGAAAGGAGGGTTTATTAACTTTGTCACTCCGTTTGTAACATCCTTAAATATTCGTCGTAACATCCCATAAAATTCGAAGTCCGTCTATCTGTCTGTCTGTTAAAATCACAATACAGCCCACATTATTTGACGTAGAGCGCCAAAATTTAGCAAAGCAATTTGTATTGTATCTAGGATGGTTGGCATTGAAAATGAGATATATCGGTCCACGTTCTGAATTCGGTATTTTGATGATTTATGCCACATTTTTTCACGGATTTGTCTGAAAATTGGTATTTGTAGGTCATAACGGGTCCCTGTGCGTGTGGCAAAACATTGCATGTATAGGCCCACGTTTTGGTATAGCCCCCATGTAAATGTACCTCCCGATATTCGGTATTTTAATTTTTTTTGCTGCAACTTAATGTTTTTTTACTTGTTTCTGTCATAGGTTGTGGTACCCATTAAGATCTTCCAAATTCTGTTGAATTATGGGGTTAATATCATAAAAATACCGAATATGGGGATTTACCTTTGTATGGAGCTACACGAAAACTTGGACCGACATTTGGCATTTACGAACGTAACCCGCCTATCTCATATCAAAATGATCGGTTTTTTGAACCCCGATTTTTTTAAAAAAAATCCCCCAAAAGTCGGAAAAGTCCCAATTTTTTGGAGCTCACGAAACATATGCCAAATTATAGTTGACACCGTAACCATTGCAAAATGCTATAATATATCTTGTTATCTTCCCGGCACCCAGAGAAATGTAAGTATAAAATTGGAAATAAACTTCGATTCGCGAAGCAGGTATTGGACATACTCAGGGTAGAAAATCTTAAGTTTTGGGAGATTTTTAAAAAAATAATGAGGCCTCTCTGCCTATATCACCTTTTATTTCTTAAAACATTTCAAAAATATTTTTTGTTTTGATTCATGGGAATATATACTATTTTCTTTATAGACAATGTTCTTTATAGAAAATGTTGCGTATAATTTATATTAATTTTAGTCGCCCATAGGGCGTATACATATTTTATCGTTAATTGAGCTTTCAGCACGTATACGTAATGCTCTGTCGTTTATACCAATTTCATTTCAATAGCAATAGCCGAAATAATGTTATTACCTATTCTTGAAACGTAGAAATGATTCGAGCTATCTTTCATGTACCACAGAATTTCCCAACTGAGAGTAAAGCAAAAGTGATTCGATTGCTCTTTCACAAAGAAAAGACAATGCTGTGAAAACTTGAGCTACTCCATAGGGGTAATCAAATTGAATTACAAGTCGCGAAGGGAATTTGCCAAGGCAAATAAGATAACTTATTTTAACAATACATTAACAAAGTGTATGTAGACAAAAATGTTCGTATGTACCTCTAAAGACTTATAAGAGAATTGAATATGAATGGAATTGTTGACCTCTTGCCTTATTTATGCCATTTTTTGTTTTTTTTTTTTATTTGAATTAATTTATTTTCTCTTTTGTAAAGTTTTCCCTTTTTCCCAATGCTTGGCAAATGTCCTTGCACGCCGGAGACTGGCAGACGCAAGTTTAGTTATATCCTCCACCTTGAAAAGGAGGGTATATTAACGTTGCCATTCCGTTTGTAACATCCCTCAATATTCGTCGTAGACCCCATAAAGTATATATATTCATGATCAGCATAAAATTCTAAGTCGATTAAACGATGTCCTTCTCTCTGTCCGTCTGTCTGCTGATATCCACATTATTTTACGTAGAGCTTTAAAATTTGGCAGAACAATTTGTATTGTGTCTAGGATGGTTGGAATTGAAAATGAGAAATATCGGTCCAAGTTTAAGTATACCCGCCATATAAAAATACCTCCCAATATTCGGTGTTTTGATGATTTTTGCCACCATTTTCCGCCGATTTGTTAAAAAACTGGTATTTGTGGGTCGTAATAGGATCTAGCTCCGGTGACGAAACATTGTATGTATTGGTCCAAATTTTGGTATAGCCCCCATATAACGCTACCTTCTAATATTCGGTATTTTTATGACTTTTGCCACATTTTTTTTAAAGGATTTTTCTAAAAATCGGTATTTGTAGGTTATAATGGGTTCTAGCTTGTGTGGCGAAATATTGTATGTCTAGGTACATGTGTTTTGGTATAGCCTCCATATAACGGTACCTCCCGATATTTTGATGATTTTCGCCACATTTTCCGTTCGTCTGTCCATTTTTGAAAACAAAGTACAGTTCGCATTTATTGTCCTATCCAGATGAAATTTTGCACAAATCATTTGTTTGGCTCAGGAACGAACCCTATTGAAATTGAAGATAATCGGTCAAAATTTAGATATAGCTCCCATATATATATTCGTCCGATTTGCCTTTTATTGTACACCAAACGTGTAATATCATCGTGTAATACCGAATTGTATGTAATTTTGCACATACAACCAACTTAGACCTGAAAATAAGTATGTCAAATTTGATCGAAATCGGTTCAGATATAGCTGTAGCTCCCATATGTATATTGTTCATCCGATTTGTTATTTTCGTCCTCCGCAGCCGTAATATGCACTCCGTAACAACAATATTTGGGGAAATACAGCTCAGAAATACCTTTTTTTTAATTTTATCGAGATCGGTTCAGATTTGGATATATATAACTTCGTCCGATTTACTTTTTATTGTGCACCAAACGTCTAATATTTTTCCGAATGGGATGGAATTTGGCACTTATGAACGAATTGAGTCTAGAAGCTAGAATGTCAAATTTGGTGAAGACCCGTTCAGATATAGCTATAGCTCCCATATATATTATTCATCCGATTTGTTATATTTGTTACCCACAACCGTAATATGCACTCCGTAACAGCGATATTCAGGAAAATATATAAAATCAAGCTTAGAAATATCTTTGCCAAATTTAATCGAGATCGGTTCACATTTGGATATAGCTCCCATATATATCTTTATCCGATTTCAAATTTATTATGCACCAAATGGGCAATACAAGTCCGAATTTAAAAAAATACAACGCTTCGGCATATTTAGTCCTTTGTACTTTAAATTATAATTATAATCATAGCGTGTATGATTGAATTCTCCCATAAAAACTTTTAATTGTCGGTGGAGCTCTACTAAATTAGAAAAGTGGTGTAGGGTATCATAAAGTCGGCCCCGCCCGACTTTAAGACTTTCTTTACTGGTTTTTTACTCGTTTTTTTTTTCTTCTTTGTTCGTTTGCCCAGCTGATTCTTGTAATTCTCATTCGGAAGCTGTTATGCTAAAATGAAGGTTCATAATTTGTTTCTCTTCATTTTTTTTTTTACTAGAGTTGAGTTGGTTTTCGTAAATTTGTGTGTGTATCTATCCATGGCTGGCTGAGTGGGGCGTTTAATGGATTGCACTACACTTGTGTGGTGGTAGTGTAGTGCAGTTGTTGTACTACTGTTTCACATGAGCTGTAGCTGTTGTTACTGTCATCCGTGTGGGAGGTTGATTTCCACTTTGTACCCAGCATCGATTCTTCGTCTTTTTCTCATCTATCCATGTTCAAGAATTTATTGTCGAAGTACCAACAACGATTGGATGCTTTTCATTTTCAATGACAACAATAGAGTGATGTGGGAGAGGTCGGTCCCCTCTCACATTTACAATGAGGATGATGCCAACTGGAAACTGGTTTAATGTGCTAAATAGAATTTCCAAAAAGGCAAAAAACACTTGTCCTTTTTTTCTGGGTGTGTTTAAAGGTAATAGAGAAAATTTTGCAAAGACTATATTTTTTTTGGTATTTTTGAGATTAGAAAAAAATCTCCTTTCTTTTGAGAATTTTTACATTTTTCTCTTTAAGATATTTTCAATAATTTTTCTTATTTTTTATATTTTTCACAACATTTTTATGGATTTCAATTTCTTAAACAATTTTATATTCTTCATTTATTTTTTCACAATAACCATTTTTCACTTTATTTTCCCAAGAAAATATTTTTTTTAGATTTTCAAAATTCTTCCGCACCTTTTTATATATTTTTCTTGCAAAAATTATACTCCTCTTAGGTTTGTTTTAAATTAACTTAAATTTTTTTTCTATTGAAAAATCTTCTGCTATGTTTTCTTGTTTCCGCACATTCATGTATACCCGTTAAATACCGTTAGAATACTGAAAAAGTCCTTTTTTCACATCAAAATGCCAGCATCCTTTTCTTGGGATTTTGTAACAAAACAATGAACTTTTAGATTTTTTGAGAAAGCTTTTTCCTACAAAGCTTTTCAAGCCATGCAACAATGGAAGCTTAACGTAAGTTTGAACATATGTTTAAAGCTATTTCCCCTTAAGCTTTCAATTAGTTTTTTTCACTGTGACAAGTGATGCTAATTTAGCGTTTTTGAACCATTCGAAATTAATCGATGGAGATATGTGATAATTTTTTGAATATTTTAAAATGTGCGTGAGGTACGATATGTAATGGGCCGAAGTAATCCATTTTTATACCCTCCACCACACACAGTTTGGAGGGTATATTAAGTTCACAATTCCATTTGTAACTCATCTAAATAATAATTTTAGACCCAACAAAGTATATATATTCTTGAACAGCATAGAATTCTAAGATGATTTAGCCCTGTTCGTCCGCCCGTCTGTTGTAATCACGCTACAGTCAAAACGAATTAAGATAGGAAGCTAAAATTTTGCAGAGATCTGTATTTTGTATACAGGCAGGTCAAGTTCGAAGATGAGCTTTATCGGTCCACGATATCGTATAGTTCCCATATAACGGCATATATTCAAATTTTGACCCTTTGTGGGGAGGTACCAGACAGAGTAGACCAATATATTCCATCTTCACACCGAACCTTTGGTTAGTAAAAATATTGCGATGTGTGTAATTTGAAGAGTACCGTATGTTTATTTTGGATTTTATGATCGTTTTGGTTATTCAAAACTTTGACCCTTTTTGGGGTAGGTACCAAAAGAAATGGTCCGATCTCCATCATTTTTCTAAAACATCTTGTAATGATAGATATATTGAGATGTGCCAAGTCTGAATGAAATCGTATGTTAATTTCGTGTTTTATGAGCTTCATGGATATTCAAAATGTTGACCATTTGTGGGGGAGGTACCAGAAGGAGTGGTCCGATGTATCCCAAATTCACACCATATTCACACCATATTATGTGTGAAATTTGAAGAGAATTAGATAATTATTTTGTATTTTATAAGAGCTATAATTATTCAAAATTTTTACCCTTTGTGGGGGAGTGGGCCGATACTGTCCATTTTCGTCCCACCGATTTGCAAAGTTTGCACCAAATTGGATGATTCTTTCTTGTTTTATAGAGTAAATGATTTTCTTTGAAAATTTTGGCCTTTTGTGCAGGAGGTAGCAGAAGGAGTGCACCGACATTGCCCATCTTCGGACTCGATCTAAGTTTGATAATAATATGATATTGAGTGATGGAATAGAGTTGAAATCCTAACATTTGATATAGATGTCATTGTTTGTGTCTGCGGTTAAGATATGGCGGTAGTTCTGGAAACGTGTACTATAATTGTTCGAAAAGTACTGAATGGTGCTATATTTGGTATTAGATGAAGGAATAGCAATACCATTCCGAGAGTTTATATTTAGATTACTAGTAGTATCTGCGTTTGAGATTTGGCAGTGGTTTAGAAATGCGTCCTATATTTGTATGAAAAGTACTAAAAGTACCCTCATCCATATACCCTCAGAGGGTATACAGGGTGAGATGAAAAAACTGCAACAACTTCAGACTGCTGTCATTTCTAAGTCCGACAGTGACAGCTCATTACATTGTTTACAAGCGTAGAAAAGCATTTTGGTAAGAACTTTCCATATAAAAAGTTATTCGTGATGGAATTCAAGCGTGATAGTGTGACTTCTTTATCTTTGGCTGGAAAACCCCAAGTGGCTATCGTTAGAGTACTCCAGCATTTAAATGTGAATAAATCTTGTGTGTCTCGTGCCATCGCTCGTTACCGTGATACTGGTAGCGTAGCCCGACGTCAAGGAAGTGGACGGAAGAAAACAGCAACATCTGCAGAAATGGTTTGAAAAGTAAAGAAGCGACTTGAACGAAGTCCGTGTCGCAGTGGGCGAAAAATGGTTCGAGGGCTGAACGTACCGCAATATTCCATTCGACAAATATTGAAAAATGAGCTCGGAGTAAAGCCATTGAAATTCCAAAATGTGCAAGAACTTACACCGCAACAGAAAGAATAGAAAATAGACTCAAAAGAGCTAAAGAGTTGCTTCTTCGCTTGACCGAAAGTGGTGAACTGCCGAATTTGGTTTTCTCCGATGAGAAAACATTCGTTGTCCAGAAGTTTGTAAAAAAACAAAATGATCGTGTTTTCTTGCCAAAGAGGTCAACTGAAAATGTGCACCTTTGGTTGGCCACCAGAACTCAAACGCCGGCCATGGCGCTGGTGTGGGCCGCCATAACAGCCGCTCAGGTCGCTCTCCGCTCGTATTAATCGACCGTGGCATTAGAATAAATACCGAATATTATCGCGAAAATATTCTGGAGGGTGTATTAAAGCCTTGGGCACGCAAACATTTTGTCCGCTGACCTTGGACATTCCAACAGGACTCAGCACCATCGCACTCAGCACGCGCCACCCAAGAATGGTTACAAAATGAGGTTCCTCGCTTCATTTCCAGCGCTCAATGGCCCCCAAAATCTCCTGATACCAATCTGTTGGACTATTGTGTCTGGAATATTTTGGAAAGGAAAGGAACTAAAAAATACAAATGTAATGGGCTAAAATACCGCATAGCAACATTCCGGCAGTGTGTGACGATTTCATTGGCCGTTTGAAGGCCATAATTCGTACCAAAGGTGACCAATTCGAACAAATCTAAACTTATTCTAAAATTTAATGCTAATCTTGAAACCTATGTGGGGAAGGTACCATAAGAAATTGTCCAATCTCTACTACCTTTATAACAGATCTTGTGTTAATGGAAATATTGAGATATTCCAAGTCTGAATGGAAGTGGATGTTTTATTTAGCGTTTCAGGAGCTTCATAGGTATTCAAAATTTTGACCCTGTGTGGGGGAGGTATTAGAAGGAGTGGTCCGACATAATTTATCTTGACAGCAGATCTTGCGTTAGTAGAAATAATGGGATGTGTGAAATATGAAAGGAACCGGATGCTTATTTCGGATGTTATGATAGTTTTGGTTTTTCAAAATCTTTAACTTTTGTGGGGGAGGTACCAGAAGGAATGTATCTTCATGGATACTCAGAATTTTGACCGCTTGGGGGGGAGGTACCAGAAGGAGTGGACCGACATATTCCATTTTCACGCCAGACCTTGGGTTAATAAAAATATTGGAATGTGTGAAATTTGAAGACAATCAGACACTTACATCACATTTTAGTTGATTTTATTATAATTATTCCAAATTTTGACCCTTTGTAGGGAGGTACTTGATGGAGTGGACCGATACTGTCTAGGTTTTGCGCCTGACCTGGGACTGATGCCGATATTATGATTCAAAGTTGGAGCAATATGGCATTATCCTTTCTCTGTGCAGAATTTTTTTTTTTTAAATTTCGACCTTTTGTGGGGGAGGAACCAGTAGCAGTGGCCCGATATTTCCCATCGCCGGATACTCCATTTGAGAGTTATCGTGCGTTCCAGCCAGACAGACGGACGGACATCGCTAGATCGAATCCAAATGTCCTGAAATGGATTTGGTACAAAGAGGCCTAGCATCTAAAACCGTTATATCGATGTGGCACGTTTTGGTCCTATCAAATGATATATACCCTCCCTAGCCATATGACTTAAGGTATAACTAGCCATATGGCTGACGATATAAAGAATTACATTTTAGTGCCTAGGTGTCGTTAATAATTGACCCACTTTTTTGATTTTGTTATGTTAACTTCAAACCTCTACAAAAAAGATGGAATGTGCCAGTCTGTATGTCGACAGATATATATCCTTAGGTAATGGACATTTTTACATATTTTTACTAGAAAATGCCCAATACTTCGTCAATGAAAAGTTCGCGCTATAATCTAAATTCGTTAAAATGTTTACCTTGTACACCGAAAAGTCTTTAAAATCTTTCATTTTTAAGTTAACAGAGGAGGATATCAGATCCATGGATCCACATTCGATTTTTCTGTCCAAAACTGTTTCAACGTCTCCAGCTGTAAACCTTAGAAACCAACATTGAATTCAGTATCAAATGTCAAAATATCAGGACCATGCCTTCACCCAATACCAAATTGTACCGAATTAAGTACAATTATAGTACACAATAAGTACAATTAAATATAATTACAGTACACATTTTCGTACAATTATAGTACACATTTTCAAAACCACTCCCATTGCTCAATTTTGGAGTTTGACTCCTCTATTTAGGTTACTTTGCGAGTAAACATTTAAAACACAAGTGTTTTCTACTTTTAAAATGTACTGATTTTTTCTGTATAATTTTTTTATCTAAAATTCCAGCGATTTTCCCTTTATAATAATGTATACATCACTTAGCGTATTTTACTCCCGTGAAAAAATAAGCTATATTTCCTTTAATATGTCTTTTTCTCAGAGTTTTAAAACATTAACTGATTTTTTTAGAGCACAGTATTTGAACTGCTCTCTTTCTCTCTCTCTCTATTTCTAAAAAGTTTATTTACTCAGTAAACATTACTGTTTATTTCAGAGACAAACTATAATTTCACGTTCTCAAATCACACTACTCTCTCTCTCTCTCTCTCTCTACTTCTCCATGGTTCAATCTCTGTTTACGTTTGTGTGCCGTTGATAAGCTCTTCGTTTTGTTTACCTATTTTTTCACGATGTAATCTTATAGCCGCTTGTTCGCTTGTTCGCTGTTTTGCTTTATTTTCTTGTTTTCGTTTTTCGCTTTACACAAACAGCTGTTTCTTGTTCGTTTGATTCGCTGACTTTGTTTGCTTGAAACAGATTTTCGTGTAATGATAATTTGAAAATCAGCTGTTGAATGTCCAAGAGATTTGTGTGTTTTTGTTTTTTGTTTGGTAGCTATGTATGTGTTGGATATACACATGCGGTAGTGGTCATAGCATGGTATCACTAACACACTGACAACAGCT